CTAGGAGAGAGTGGAATGATATATTCAAAACACTGAAAGACAAAAACTATCAGCCAAGAATACTCTATCCAGAAAAATTATCTTTCAGATATGATGGAGAAATAAAAGCTTTCCTGGACAAACAGAAGCTGAGGGAGTTCATCACCACGAGACCTGTCATACAAGAAATGTTGAAAGGAGCCCTCCTACCTGGAACAAAAAGGCAAAGGATTACAAAGCTTTGAGCAAAGTCATCAATAGACAGACAGAATAATAAAATTGCAACTCTATATCAGATTAGGTTAGTAAACAATTAAAACGTAAAGGGTAAAGGGAAAGAAAGCATAAAAAATAACTATAATCACTTCAATTTGGTCACAAACTCACAACACACAAAAAAATAATTTGTGACAACAAAAACATAGAAAGGGGGCTGGCATGGTGGTTTAGTGGCTTAGCTGGTGCTCTCTGCTTCAGCGGCCTGGGGCTCATGGGTTCAGATCCAAGGTGCAGACCTACACACCAGTTATCAAGCCATGATGTGGTGGTGTCCCACATACAAAAAATAGGGGAAGATTGGCACAGATGTTAGCTCAGGAACAATCTTCCTCACCAAAACAAAAAAGGGTGGGGGGAGAGGAAATGACAGAACATGCATTGGCTAATGGAGATAAGAGGCTATCAGTAGAAAAAGGACTATCTCACTTATGAGATCTTTTATACAAACTCATGGTAACCACAAAATAAAAAGCCAGAGCAGAGTCACAAATCATAAATAAAGAGAACACCATCACAGAAAACCACTGAACTGAAATGGCAGACAGAAATAGAAGGAAAAAGAAACAGTGAAAATCTAGAACAACCAGAAAACAAAGATAAAATGGCAGCCTTAAGCCCTCATATATCAATAATCACTCTAAATGTAAATGGATTGAATTCACCAGTCAAAAGACCTCCCAAAACAGAGTGGCTGGATGAGTTAAAAACAAGACACAACAATATGCTGCCTCCAAGAGACCCATCTCAGCTCTAAAGACAAACATAGGCTCAGAGTGAAGGGATGGAAGACTATACTCCAAGAAAATGGCAAACGAAAGAAAGCAGGTATAGCCGTACTTATATCAGACAAAACAGACTTCAAGACAAAAAAGATAAGAGACAAAGATGAATATTATATGATAAAAGGGTCATTCAACCAAGAAGACATAACACTTATTAACATATATGCACCCAACACTGGAGCACCAAAGTATATAAATCAACAAGTAACAGACCTAAAGGAGAAATTGACAGCAACACAATAGTAGTAGGGGACTTTAACACCTCACTTACATCAATGGATAGATCATCTAGACAGAACATCAACAAGGAAACAGTGGCCTTAAATGAAACAGTAGACCAGATGGACTTAATAGATATATATAGAACGTTCTATCCAAAAACAGCAGACTACACATTCTTCTTAAGTGCACATGGAACATTCTTAAAGGTAGACCATATGTTGGGAAACAAGGCAAGCCTCAATAAATTTAAGAAGATTGAAGTCGTATCAAGTATCTTTTCTGATCACAATGTTATGAAACTAGAAATCAACTACAAGAAAAAAGCTGGGAAAGTCACAAATATGTGGAGACTAAACAACATGCTACTGAACAACCATTGGATCAATTAAGAAATCAAAGGAGAAGTAAAAAAATACCTGGAGACAAATGAAAATGGAAACACAATATGTCAACTCTTATGGGATGCAGCAAAGGTGGTACTAAGAGGGAAAATTATAGCAATACAGGCCTACTGCAATAAGCAAGAAAAATCTCAAATAAACAATCTAACACTATACTTAAAAGAAGTAGAAAAAGAAAAACAAACAAAGCCCAAAGTCAGTAGGAGGAAGGAAATAATAAAAATCAGAGCAGAAATAAACAAAATAGAGACTAAAAAAAATGATAGGAAGGATCAATGAAACTAAGAAATGGTTCTTTGAAAAGATATAAAAAATTGACAAAGTCTTAGCCAGACTCACTAAGAAAAAGAGAGAGATTTTATTTACTAAATAAAATCAGAAATAAAGAGGAGAAATAGCAACAGATATCACAGAAATACAAAGAATTATAAGAGAATGCTATGAAAAGCTATACATCAACGAACTGGATAACCTAGAAGAAATGGATAAATTCTTAGAATCTTACAATGTCCCAAAATTGAATCAAGAAAAAACAGAATCTGAATAAACCAATCACAGTAAAGAGTTGAGACAGTAATCAAAAACCTACCCCCAAACAAAAGCCCAGGACCTGATGGCTTCTCTGGAGAATTCTACCAAATATCCAAGCAAGATTTAATATCTACCCTTCTGAAACTCTTCTGAAAAATTGAAGAGGACAGGACACTTCCTAACTCATTTTACAAGCCAACATTATCGTGATACCAAAACCACAGAAAGAACGCAAAAAAGGAAAAGTACAGGCCAATATCACTGATGAACATAGACGCAAAAATGCTTAAAAACTATTATCAAATCAAATGAAACAACACATTAAAAGGATCACACACCACAATCAGGTGGGACTTACTCCAGGGACACAGGGATTGTTCAACATCTGCAAATCAATCAGTGTGATACACCACATTAACAAAATGAAGAATAAAAATCACATGATCATCTCAATAGATGTGGAGGAAGCATTTGACAAGATCCAACATGCATTTGTGATAAATGCTCTCAATAAAATGGGTATAGAAGGAAAGTACCTCAGCATAATAAAGCCATATATGACAAACCCACAGCCAACATCATACTTAACAGTGAAAAACTGAAAGCCATTCCTCTGAGAACAGGAACAAGACAAGGTTGCCAACTCTTGCTACTCTTACTCATCATAGTATTAGAAGTCCTAGCCAGATAAATTAGGCGAGAAAAAGAAACAAAAAGGATCCAAATTAGAAAGGAAGAAGTAAAACTCACTATTTGCAGATGACATAATTTTATCTGTAGAAAACTCTAAGGACTTCATCAAAAAACTATTAGAAATAATTATCAAATGCAGTAAATTTTCAGGGTGCAAAATCAACGTACAAAAATAGGTTGCATTTTTTATACACTAATGACTAACTAATAGAAAGGGAAATCAAGACTACAATCCTATTTACAATCACAACATAAAGAATAAAATACCCATGAATAAATTTAACCAAAGAGGTGAAAGACCTATATGCTGAAAACTATAAGACGGTGTTGAAAGAAATCAAAGAGGACCCAAGGAAATGAAAAGATATTCCATGCTCATGGATTGGAAGAATTAACATAGTTAAAATTTCCATATTACCTAAAGCAGTCTACAGATTCAATGCAATCCCAATAAGAATCCCAATGACATTTTTCATGGAAATAGAACAAATAATCCTAAAATTTATATGGAACAACAAAAGACCCCGAATAGCCAAAGGAATCCTGAGAAAAAAGAACAAAGTTGGAGGTTATCACACTCCCTGACTTCAAAATATACTATAAAATATATTATAGTAATCAAAACAGCATGGTACTGGCATAAAAACAGATACACAGATCAATGGGACAGAATTGAGAGCCCAGAAATAAACCTGCACATCTATCAACAGCTAATCTTTGAAAAAGGAGTCAAGAACATACAATGGAGAAAGGAAAGTCTCTTCAATAAATACTGTTGGGAAAACTGGACAGCCAAGTGCAAAAGAATGAAAGTAGATCGTTGTACACCATACACAAAAATTAACTCAAAGTGGATTAAAGACTTGAATGTAAGACCTGAAACCATAAAACTCCTAGAAGAAAACATAAGCAGTACACTCTTTGACATCAATCTTCCCAGTTTCTTTTTGAGTACTATGTCTCCTCAGGCAAGAGAAACAAAAGGAAAAATAAACAAATGGGACTACATGGGACTAAAAAACTTCTGCAAGGGGAAGTAAACCATCAACAAAATGAAAAGACAACCCATCAACTGGGAGAAAATATTTGCAAATCATATACCCAACAAAGGGTTAATTCCAAAATATATGAAGAACTCATTCAACTCAACAAATGAAAAACCCGGTCAAAAAATGGGCAGAGGATATGAATAGACATTTTTCCAGAGAAGATATACAGATGGTCAACAGGCACATGAAAAGATGTTCAACATCACTAATGATTAAGGAAACACAAATAAAAACTACAAGGAGATATCACCTCACACCTGTCAAAATGGCTATAATTAACAAGAAAAGAAGTAATTGTTGGAGAGGATGTGAAGAAAAGGGAACTCTTATACACTGCTGGTGGGAATGCAAACTGGTGCCACCATTATGGAATACAGTTTGGAGATTTCTCAAAAAATGAAAAATAGAAATACCATAGGATTCAGCTTTTCCACTTCTGGGTATTTATCCAAAGAACTTGATCACTACTTCAAAAAGATATGTGCACCCCTAGGTTCACTGGAGCATTATTCACAATAGCCAAGACCTCGAAGCAACCCAAGTGCCCAACAATGGGTCAATGGATAAAGAAGGTGTGGTTTATATGTACAATGGAATACTATTCAGCCATAAAAAAGACAACAGGGATGGACCTTGAGGTTATTATGCTAAGCAAAATAAGTCAGATAGAGAAAGAAAAATACCATATGATTTCACTTATATGTTGAATATAAATAAAGAAACGCAAAGATAAGGAGGAGAACAGACTGGTGGTTACCAGAGGGGAAGGAAGTGGGGTAGGGAGAAAGGGTAGAGGGGCACATTTGTATGGTCACGAAGACTAGACTGTTGTTGGTGAGCACGATGCAGTCTACACAGAAGCTGAAATGTAATGATGTATACCTGAAATTTATACAATATTTTAAACCAATAGCCCTCAATAAAATAATAAAAAACCCAACTCTGAACATTATGAAAGAAGATAATGATTAGTTGAGCATGTGAACAAAGCAGAAATGTTAACTATGGTACTGTATTGGAAAGGGGTACATCTCTGCTCAGATCCCCTCTCCCTGCCTGGCATACTCAGTCCACCTGCAGTGACAGACTCAGCAGTCTCTAAAGAACTGCCCTGGGCTGACGGCAGCTGGCTCATGGGAAAATGCTGGGAGGGTCCACTCTCTCTACCCCACGGCCTGCAGCAAATGTCAGAGATAAGAGGAGGTGGCCATGGCCCATACCTGTTACTTTGAGGTGGGAAAACTGTGGTGCCATTCACATTTCAGAGCTCCTCTGGGATCAGGCTGAGATTAGGGTTCAGGTGAAACCACTTCCCTGAATAAGCTGCTCCTGCTGCCCTAGCCACGCTCCTCAATGTTCCGTGAATGTTTATGTGCATTTGATATGAATGTGTGTTTTTCAGTTGTTGAGTGAAACTTAGTACACACATACCTGTATTTTTACTGCTTATATAGGTCTTGTTCCTTATCATTTACAAAATCAATATATCCTTTGGGTCACATTCAAGTTTTCATTTAATTAATAACCTCCATTACACACTAAGTTGATCTTCAGAAAAAATGGGAAAATATTTGGAAATTCATCTGAAAGTTCAGAACGTATTTATTGAAACAGAAATATAAACAAGTCCCAAAGGAAATGACCATGACATTACTAAGTATTGGCAATGTAGTTTTTCCTAATAAATATAATTAATTTTGTTCATTATTTGTAAATTCTTCCATAGTTTCTTGCTACACTTTTGTACCACGTGTGTAACAAGCAGAAACTTTCCCAGCTAAAGCGACGAGCACAGAGGAACTTTCTGTGAATGTTTCTGCAGTGAGAGGTTCATTTGCCTTGCCCAGGACTCGTTGGAGGACTGATTCCTGGATTCACCACAGGACAGATTCTCAGGAAGCCCTGATCGTCCTTCATTGGATTTGCGGGAGCAAAAAATGGACGCAGAGGCTCTGCAGAAGAAACTTTACTGAACGTGAAAATATGAGATCCATCGCTAACGTGATAAAAGGAAATGATCCCAATATCCATATCCAGGAAAATCCCTACTCGATGTAACCTAGGGCTCACCAAGAGAGTAGTCACAGGCACAGTGCTGGCTGAGAAGACATCTCCATTTCTTGAACCCACAGTCCAGAAACCGAGTTCTGAAGACAGTACAACTACCCCTTGTCGATTAACAGATTCTCTGCAAACGCCTACATCCCATTCTTTGCTTGTCCCTACGTCTACCTCCCAGTAATGGCGGCCGGATGTGAACCGAGGGGAGCCCAGGACACAGATGGCATAGATGAATCTCTCAGCACGCGTCCTCCAATACTGTATGAAATACCCACAGTGGACACTCCTCAGGTCCTCAGAAATGATGAGGTGGTTGTTGGCTGTGTCGACATCCAAGGTCATATCCACTGATGGGATAAAAATAAGCAAATCACGTACATACACTGTGCACCGCTCTGCACACTGCTGCAAGCCCCAAATATCTCACTCACTTTCCTTCTTTAACTAGACACTTCTTCCCTAATCAGAGTTTTCCTGGAAAAACCTCCCTGGTGCCTTGATTAGACCAACTTTTATATGTAGAATAAATGATTTTAACTGAAAATGGTCCCTCTTAGGATCATAAGTATTCTCTGTACATTAAGGTCATTTAATTATTTAAGATTTTTCTTTCCTAAACTACGTAATATACATGAAAAAAAGAGACCATGATTGTTGTTTCTTCTCAAATTAGACAAAATAACACAGATTCTGTCAAAACACAGACAGTAAATACATATTTGAATGATGGAAAATATTTTACTTACTGAAACATTAAAGTTTTTCTTTTCTTTTTTCTTATTTTGCAATTACCTTCCTCATTTACTGTTGTTAAATAGGCAGTTGCCTTCCAGACTTTTTCTTTTCTTTCCTAGAGTTGTAATAAAATATTAAAAAGAAATGCTAGGAGTCCTGAGATAAGATGGGTAACTCTGGATAGTCAAGATAGAGGAAGGGATTCCGATGGACCTGAGTAGGGATGTGCTGGGATCTTGGCAGCAACTTAGCCCCAGAACTTAATGGGACAGTGCTCAGAGGGGCAGGAAAATTGGAGAAGAATGACTGTGTGTCAACACTTCCAACTAACCCCAGTTATGAGGATGGATGCATAGAGCTGCTTGTCCTAACCTGACCCTGTGGATGGAGCCAACCGAGCCTCAGACATCAACTCTCTGGATCAAAGACCATTACTTTACTTGGCGTCATTATAACATGGCTGTCTAGGAGATGCTCTGACTTTCTGACCACCAGAGAGTAATTGTCAAGGCTCATCAAGTTTCTGGGACAGGTTTCACCATCCCTCATTCAAGTATGCATGGAACAAGGAGTGAACTCATTTAGAAAACAAAGCAATTTGTTTCCTTCCCAATGAGCCTGTGAAGTCTGGGCTGGCTTCCTGACTTTAGCACATGAGACCTGCAGCTGATTTGTCATAATTCACCTTAACTCAGAGCTGTGACACTGAATCAGGCATGTTTCTCTGAGTTCCAGGTCAGGGAGGGAAGCGCAGGCTGCAGTGCTTGGGTGCAGAGTCTGCAGAGGAGTTAAACCTACAGACACAACCACATGCAATTTTACTCCCCTTTGCCTGCAGTTTGAGCTCTGGGGAACATTCATTGCCCACACTCACTGTGCATTAGAATCACCTGGGGGCTGTTAAACTTTGCAGATTCCTGCGCGTCACCGCAAGAGGGGGTCAGATTCAGTGGGTGCAGAACCTTGGTACACAACGTGTGGCCCATGAACTAGCAGCCTCAGCACCACTAGGGCTCTTGTCAGAAACCCAGATCCACAGGCCAGCCCAGCGCACTGAATCAGAATCTGCATTTAAACAAGATCCTCAGGGAATTTAAACACTCAAGTTTGAGAATCATTGTTTCATTGTTACATGTGAACCCACTATGTATTTTAAATTTTCTGACAAACACATAAAAAATTAGGGATAAGAATTGGATATAATTGATTTGAATAATACACTTTATTTAATGCAAAGTATCCAGAATCTGGTATCTACTTGTGTCAATAGCCAAGTAGAGAGATCAATAACTGTCAGAGCCTATGGGAAATATTGGATAGCATAGGTCTTGGGCATGACCTAGATATTATATTTTCTTAAAAACCTATGGATGGTTCTAATCTATACTTACAGGTGAGAACAACTGTTGCCTTGAAAGAATAAAAATTTCAGGTGCCAGAATTCAGCTAATGCCCTTATTTCATGGAGAACTTTTGAAAAGTTGCCTTTAGCAGAGCACTTTCTGGACTGGGGGCAGGTTGTACAGATGCCTTACCTTGGAACTTTCGCATCCTTGGGTTCATCTGGAGAACAGCTCTCAGCTGGGGCTCTAACGCCTTGATCTTGGAAACCAGCGCCCCCAGCTGGATACCAGGCCTGATGTCCTTCTTTTGAGAGACCACAGAGCAGAGGGGGCACAATAAACCCTCTCCATCGGGCTCCTTTTGCAGTGAATTGATGCACTGGAGGCAGCAGACATACCCACAGTTCAGGTACATGGGTTTTTCAAGATAACTCATGCAGTGACGACATCTGCTTGCTTCTTTAAAGTGTTCAGCCATGGCCGCTGTCTGGGGAAAAATGTGCATGATATTGGAATTTCCATGAGCTGCGTGGATATTAGTCCTTGGGAGACCTTTATCTTTACAGACAGAGTGATTTGCCATCACTACAACTAGGTAATGATGATACAGCATAAGTACAAATATAACAGACTCATGACCCTGAAGTTCTGGTATTTAAAATGCCAGTTGGAATGAAGGACATGATTCATTCTTGGGTTTTAACTTGGGTGGTGAGAGGCTCTATATTTTACCTGGGCCGTCCAATGTGGTGGCCACCAGCCACAATTGGCTATTGAGCCCAAGAGGTAGGCTTATCCACATAGAAATGTGTTGTGAGTATAAGACACACATTCAATTTTGAAGATGTAATGAGAAAAAGAGAATAAACTATTTCATTGAGAACTTTCAAAAACTGATTACATGTCGAACGGATTACATTTTGCCTGTAAAATTAGATTTGTTTGATTTTAATTTTTGTGGCTACTAAAAAATAAATTTACATTTACATATGTGGGTCACCTTATATTTCTACTGGACAGCGCTAGTCTAGACACAGAAACTGTCCATCTCCCCTGTCTGTCCAACCTTCATGAGGCAAAAGCTCAGAACAGAGCTTGAGAGGTGGAATAAGTCCGTGGCTGGAACCCCACTCACCATCTCACAGAATTTACCAAGCTCTGATTTGACTCTGGATAAGGAAGACTGTGTTATTTCTCCAACATGAGTATTGAACATCTAAGTTCTCCCTTCTGCTCCCATCAGAGGTCCCCATGTCCCTAGGTGCACACACTGTGCCTGGCACTGAGTTGGCCTCAGACAGCAATTGCTGAATTAATGAATTACTCCAGTTCGAGACCTTACTTTCTTATATCTGCCTTTTGTAGAAATTTGAGGAGTAAAAGTGAAATTCTGCAGGACTGAACTCACCTCCCCTCCACTAGGTCCTCCTCTGGCCTCCAGCTGCTCGTCCCGACAGCTCAGCTCTGGAGTGAGGTCAACCAACAAGGAGCTTTTATTAGACAGGGTCCCTCCTCCCGCCTCGCTCACATCTCCCCTCTCCTCTTTAATCCAATCAGATTTTGATTCAATTCCAGCATTAGTGAGACGTTTCTCACCTCATAGAGAGTTTACCATGGAGAGGATAATTGTATCATGAAAGCGTTATTTTTAAACTATGAACAAAATATCGCCATAATACCATTCTAGATTAGATCTTGGATATTACGTCTGTTGATGATAGGAACTTGAATTAAGATTGAAATTTAAAAAAATTGTCCTCATTATTAATCTTTCTGAAATAAATGGGACCAATTTCCAATAGTTTTTGATGATGAAAGTAAAGTCTCCCATTTTGATCAAGGAAATTAATTAAACCTACTCAGAAGTCTGTCCTAAAATCACACTCACCAGACCACTGTCACTTCTTACAAAGAGTGTTTTCTCCACAAATGTGAAAATCCTTATTCAGAAGTTTGGCAAATAAATCCCAAAACTGTTCCCTGACAATCAGTCAGCAGGTGAAGGTCCTGTTTTTTTATTAATCAAAGGTGAAATATATTTTTATAATATTGTTATTTCCATACATCACAACATATATAAAATGAGATACATTTCTCTTAACACGTGTTCGAAGAATGTTCTCCATAGTTGTAGATGACTCATAGGTGATCAGGGTTTAGGGGGTGAAATAAAAAATTGGGAAATGGTGGCGGTTGGTATGCAGTGAAAGGAGTTAGATTAGATTTAGGTGATTATGTTAAAGAGGCATTAATTCATCAATCCACAGCAATGATTTGCTGCTATTTCCCTGATGCTCCTGTCATTTCACATCCAAAGCAGAGGCTCATTCCTGGCTCTCAAGTCCTTTGGTCTCATTAAGGGGAATTGAAAGTCCCACACACATATTCATATGACATTTTTATTTCTTATCTGATATTTCAATAAGCTTTAAATTTATTTTACAAGTCCTTTTAGAATGTTTTCACATTTCTGGAAGATGTTATTCTCATGTTTGTGGTGTCACTGACTCTTGCCTGTGAGGGATTGATTTCTATTGAGTTTTCCATTGTTTATTTTGAGCTGATCAGGAGCAAGGCTTATATTGTCTTTGGGAACACCAGGTGACCACTGTGGTGGAAAAGGCCAACCTTGGTAATTTGATCTACCTCTATCAGGTTCCCCCCAAATATCCTCAACCTGCAAAGGCATGGATGGTAATATCTTGGGTAAGAATTCATCCATTAAAGAGAAGAAAAGTGCAAGTTAGGTTTCCCAGCCCACCAGAGGGGCTGACCTTGGGTGTTGGTTTCCTGTGGTATTTTTTTCAATTGGAACTTTGGACAGAGAGGAGCTGCCTGACTTCCCCCGGGCAGTGGCACACTCTCCTTGCTCGCTGTCATTGGCTGCCCAGTGTCTTGAGTCTACTATGGTTGAGCTACCCCACATTTCAATATGCCACCTAGTGGGGACAGATTCTCCCCCTCTTATCTCTGCAGGGATGTCATTGAACCCAAGGCGCCAATCACTGGGGCTGCTCTGCTCTCATCCCAGGCTCTGCTCACGGTCACGTCATCTGCAACTTGTGGGGTTAGCTTGACATTCAGCTCCTCCAGGTGTCAGGACACCATGACTCCTGACTTTACCGAAAGCGCATCCTTCTGTAACTTAATATGTATCTTATGTGTCCAGCAGTTTTATGTGACTCTTCTGATATAATATCTTGGTCTTCAATAATATCTTATCTTTAAACAAAATCCTATTACAATTTTTACATTTGAAAGGTCTTAGAATCTGAAACTCCGAGGAAACTCTGAAGAAAAACTTAAATTGTTTTCACTCTATCTCTGGCACAAGGTCCTCTCTTGAGAAATGAATATCAAAATGACAAAAATATTATGTCAATAGTAAAATCCAATCCTTCTGGATTTTGCTTACTAATTTGCCAATATAGTTTTTCAAATCATTGATATATTGATGGTAACGTCATTTAAGAATCGTCATGTGTAATTGTACCTTGTTTTAACAATAGCTCCAAACTGGCCTTTTAAATCTCTCTTATTCTGTACGTATAATTTTAAGACTGTTGTTTAAAAAATAAGAATATCAAATTGTGTTCTTTTTTTTTAAAGATTGGCACCTGGGCTAACAACTGTTGCCAATCTTTTATTTTTTACTTTTTTTCTGCTTTATCTCCCCCCCCCGCCCCCCCGTACACAGTTGCATATCTTAGTTGCAGGTCCTTCTAGTTGTGGGATGTGGGACACCACGAGCGGTGTCATGTCCGTGCCCAGGATCTGAACCCTGGGCCACCGCAGCGGATCGCGTGAACTCAACCACTCGGCCACGGAGCTGGCCCCGTGTTATGTTTTATGCAACATTTTATACCAAGTAAAAAATTATTTCCATTATGAGAAATTTCTTTTTTTGTGGTTTGTTAGCTCACAAAACTTTGTTATATCCCATACTTATTAATGTTGCTTTCAACTGTGGGAGGTCATTTATTTTACACACAGTGTTATATCTGGGCATTGTTCTTCATTAGGATTACTTTGTGTATATTTGTGGCCCATTCATCTTTGACCTTTAATCAGCTCAACGGTGTGAAAATTCTCATTTTGCTATAACCATGATAGATTCTTTAACATCTAAAAAGATACGAGTTTTAGGCTTTGAGAAAACAGAGGATATGATTTGTTGAAACTTTTATGTATGTTTGAATAATGTTATACTTTTTGGGAAAAATTTTAAAAAGAAAAGTTATGGTCCTTCCATCTTCCAGGTTGTCTTAGCACAGTTTCTGGTATTTTCTCAAGAAGTAAACAAACTCCTGGGAATAATCTTTGCAATCACAGAGGAAAGGCGGTGGTAGAAAGGATCCTGCTCACTGAGCGAGGCTTTAGGGAGCATTCCTGAGCAGCTCTTTTTCCTTTTCTTGATCTAAATATGAGAAGATTTTTATTCCTTTGTCAGCAACTGGATCTGTGACTATTTCCTTTGGATAAATGTTGATCCCTTAATGTGTGATTAAGGCCCCACCAAAAAACCTTAATTCTCCTACACGGATCTAATAGACATGGTCTAAGCCGAGGTCTGCTGACCTTGGCACAATTGACACTTTTGGGTGGAAGATTCTTTGTTGTGGGATGTAGGATTTGTTTTGAATTGTAGTTGTGAGTTGTAGGGTGTTTCATGGCATCTGTGGTCTCTACACACTAGATGCCAGTAGCATCTCCTTCACTCCAAGTTGTGAAAACCAAAAATGTCTCCAGACATTGCCAAGTGTTACCTCGTGAGGACATAATCATTCTTGAAATGAGGACCACTGGAAGCCAATATACTGTATTTCAGCTAACTGGAAAGTATCTTTTTGGGGTTTAACCTTCTACTTCGTACCAGACTTAAATCAAAATAACATTGGATTAAAAGGGCATGGAAGGGTGTGAATAATGTCAAGGGAGAGGAACTCTCCAAATAAGAGCCCCGCACCCCAGAACCAAACCCACTGTGCGAGTACACGGAGGGCAGGGGAGGACTCAGCAGGAGGAGAGGAGAGCTCTAATAACCTTGTTTAAAAAAATGTTCTCAGAGTATAAAATCTGGCTAGGAGATATCCAGATGGAGAATGTTGACATCCATAATTAAACTGTTACCGACAGAATAGCAACTATGCATATGCAATTTTCACAGACTGACTAGGTCCTGTAGGAGGAGTGAGCATAGATTAAAATTTTAATACCCAGATTGAAGAAGTGAATTATTTCATTACTTCCAAAAGTCAAATTACAGCCTGGGCTATTCTGAGTGGCATCGTCGGATCCAGATTTCTGTGATGGAACTGATCCATAACTGTGGTGTCCAATATGGTAGCCAGTAGCTCCCTGAGGCTATTGAACATTTGAAATATGGCTGCTGACATATGTAGAAAGGATAATATTTTGGATATATTAACTTAAATAAAATATATTATTTAAATTTATTTCAAAATTTTCCTTTCCTGT